TCAGCGCTCAGCAGCGATGGATCCGTGTCTCTGCGCCCCTTCCCAGCTCACCCCACGGACCTTGCCGGCGTAGTGATGGATGCGGAAGCACTGCGGCGGCAGGCTGGTGTCCATGACGCGCCGGGCGTTCTGGGTCTCCTTGCTCTCGTAGTGCTTGTGGGTGGCGAAGAGGAGGTTCAGCTTGGTGAGGAAGGTGTCCTCGTTGACCACGCCGGGCCGCAGGCACTCCTCATCCAGCATGGCCAGGATCCCGCTCTTGCTCTGCACCAGGATGGATGGTGTCACCCAAAACAATGTGATGGGAGGGGAGCCAGCACCCTGACCCAGGACCCCAGCACTGGGTGCCGCTCACGTTCTCAATCAGGTTGCAGATGATGCTGTTGTCAAAGAACTCCACCGGGGTCCACTGGATACCCTGGGAGCAGACAGCGATGTGCATGGACCCCTGGATCCTGCCCCACGGACACCCCCCCAGCTGATGTGGGGCAGGAACCGGATGTCCGGCCACGGGGACAGGGATCCCGAATCCCTCCCTGCCTTCCTGCTATTGAATGTGCTCCCGGCAGGGAGCGGGGCGAGGGAGCGACGTGCTCTGGAGACGGCTCCGGCACTTCCCCATCGCTGGGGGGCCGAGGCTCTATGGGGCCATCCTCTGGCACCCATAGACAGAGGGGCCGCATCCTGCCCGGCCAGCGCCCGCTGGGGGTACCTCTCGGACGTATTCCTCCTGCTCCTCCTTCAGGGTCAGCAGGATGAAGATCTGCTGCAGCTTCTCATTGCAGTAGTTGATGATGAACTGCTCAAAGCCATTATCCTATGGAAGAGGGGTCCTGCTCGGTCATGCCCATACCCACGGCGCTGCAGAATGGGGCCGGGGGGACCCTGCCCTCACCTGGAAGATCTCAAAGCCGTAGATATCCAGGACGCCCATCACCTTCCTCTGCTTGCCCGGCTTCACCTGGGGACACAGCGGGGTGCTGAGGGGGTCCAGGGCCCCATCCGGGATGGGGGAGCCGGTGCCTGTCCCCCCGGGCACTCACCTGGATGCTGGTGTTGATGCGGCTCACCAGCCAGTCGAAGAGGCGGCTGTAGATGTTCTTGGCCAGCGCATCCCGGCCGTAGTACCCCTATGGAGAGGGCGAAGCGGGGGTTCCTGTGGCCGCTCCTGGGGTCGCTGGGTGCTGCAATGGGGGGCACTCACCTGGGGCACGCTGAGCGTGGTGAGCACCGTCTCATCCCGCGCCTTCACCGTGCGGGAGCACAGCGCCTGCTCCAGCGTGCCGGGCTCCAGCCCGATGAGCTCGCCGATCTCCTGCAGCTCTGTGTGCGTGTGGGATGCAGCGGTGACAGGGCTGCGGAGCAGGGGGACGAGAGGGGGTCCCTGCAGCGGTCCCATCGGCACCCCTACCCTGCGGCTCAGCGATGCTGCACGCCTCCATCCCGCTGGCCTGGTAGCTGCCGCTCAGCTCCACGTTACCCAGCTTGAGGACCACGGCCGTCACCTGCAGCAGCTCCGTCACCTCGGTGGGCGAGAAGCCGATGACGCTCATGGCATCCTGGGGACAGACACGGGCAGCTCAGCAGGATGGGGTGGATGTTTTTGGTGGGGGGGGGGGGATCCCAGGTTCCTGGTCCCAGTGGTACCTGCACGGCGCGGAAGTTGGCTGCATCATCCACACCGGGCAGGCTGCAGCTCTCCCCCCTCAGGTAGGGGTAGTGCTGGCAGTCCTGGCGGAGCCTCAGCTGCTCTGGAGCGGGGACAAGGAGGCGGCTCAGCCACAGCCTGCCATGGAATCCCCCTTGGACCCTGTGCTACGGGGCTGGGACCTACGGAGCAGCTGCGCCGAGCCCCCGGCCAGGAGCTGGTAGAAGATGTGGAAGTTCCTCTCGCCCTTGACGTGCCGCACGATGCGGGATTTCTCCAGCAGGTCTGTGGGCAGGGGCAGTGCTCATGGGCTGTGTGATGCATGGGGACCCCCCCCCCCCCAAGGATGGGCGGTCGCTACTCACAGTTACTGATGACCCCTCCCAGGGGTTCCCCCTTGAAGTCGAACTCCACATCCATGTATTTGCCCTGAGGGATGGGGCTGGGATCAGGGTAAGGGGATCCCCTCCCCACATCCACATCCCCATCCCCTGCTGTGCCTCCAGCCCCACCAGGACACAGTTCCAGCATCCCAGGCACTCACAAAGCGGGACGAGTTGTCGTTACGGATGGTCTTGGCATTCCCAAAGGCTGCAGGGTGGGGACACCTGGGGTTACAGCGTGGTCCAGGGGGGCTGGGATGGATGCAGGGTGTAGGATGCAGGATGCTTACCCTCCAGCACGGGGTTGGACTGCAGGAGCTGCTCCTTCACCTTGTCCACCTCCTCCCCTTTGCTGCACACCGCTGCCACGTAGGACATCACCAGCTTGCTGGCCTCTGCGAGTGAGGGGCCGTGGGTAGCGGGGCCGTGCCCACCCATCCCGCAGCACCCCTATGAGCACCCAGCGGCACCCCTGCCCCTACCCGTCTTGCCAGCCCCGCTCTCCCCAGTGATGAGGATGCACTGGTCCCTGTCGCGGTCCCGCAGCGAGCGATAGGCATCATCGGCAATGGCATAGCTGCGGGTGAGGAGGGCTTAGAAGGGGCTCGGAGCAGGGGACACCAAAAGCCCCCCGTTGTATGGCTGTGAGCCCGCTCCCTCGGACCCCAAAGCCTCGGGCAGGGTCTATGGAGACCGAGGGGCTCCCCCGCGCTCACATGTGGGGCTTCACAGCGAAGAAGTTGCAGTTGTGGTACTCCTGCACCTTCTCGGGGGTGTAGATGGGCAGGGGCTGGTAGGGGTTCACCGAGATCACCACGTTCCCGATGTACGTCTGCAGGGAAGCAGGATGCTGCGTGCGGCTGCGGTGGGGGACCCAGACCCCGGCGCCGCGCTCTGCTCCCCCCAAGCCCGCCCGCCCCGCAGCCCCATCCCGGTGCCCACGTAGATGTCTCCTCGTCGGAAGCGCTCCCGCAGGGTGCGGAGCAGCGAATCCTCGCTGAGCGGGTCCAGCAGCACCAGGTCCCCGATCGCTGCCGCGTCCAACAGCGGCTCCGTGGCTTCCATGGCAGGGCGGCTCCGGGGATGCTGCGCGGAGAGGGGCGGGCGCTGCAGCCACAGACACGCAGCCCCGTCCCCAAAACACCACCACCAACAACCCCCGGTCCTCAGCAGCCCCTGGTGCCCCCCTCAACCTCGTCGCGCGGAGGGCACCGCAGCGCTCAGGACCCCGGGATGGGGATGGGGAGCCGGGGGGAAGCAGAGCCCCGGGCAGGAAACGCGGACACCTGGAGCCTATTCTTGGGGCAGGGACAAATCCAGCCCCTGCTTCCTCCCTCCTTCCTGGCAGGGGGAAGCCGGGGCGGGAAGGGCCAGGCTCAGGGCCAGGGGAGCCCAGGACCCACCCGGAGAGCCCTGCAGCACCTAAAGGCACCCACGGGATCCTGCTCCCTCCCCAGCCAGCCCTCACCTGGCTCTTTCGGAGCAGTCCCAGCCCCTGGGGTGACCTTCACCCCCCGTTTACAGCCCGGCTGCAGGCTGTAAACCCAACCCCGTAACCCCGGTGCCCGGGGAAAGTTCACGAGCGCAGAGGTGGGGAAGGATGGAGACGGCTCCACCCGGACAAGGCGGCCCCCACCGCTCCCTACGGCCTCCCCCGGCGCTGCTGCGAGCAGGACCCCAAAGTGAACACCCATTGGGGGGGGGAGAACCAGAGCAAGAGCCCCCCCCCCCCCCCCAGCTCCAGGGCTCACCCCCACCTCCCCATAGCGCAGGATCCCCAACACCCCACGGCGCGGAGGTGCCCTGGGTTGGGTGCTGTGGGGACGGGGTGCCCCGGGGGGGGTTTGGGTGCTCCGGGCTGGGTGGGAGCGGAGGGGTCCAGCACTCACCTCCCGGTTGCAGAGCAGCAGCTTGCGGAGTGGCTCCGGGCCAGCCCAGCGCCCGGTGCGGCCCCCGGAGGGGCGGGGGAGAGCAGGGGCCCTCCCTTCAGGGCACGGTGCCCGTTTGCAAGCAGGGAAACTGAGGCCCAAGGAGCCGGGACGCTGCCCCCGGCCCCTCGGAGCGGCTGCGGCCCCGCGCTCCCCTCCCTGCCCCGGAGGCAATGGAACAAGCAGGGAAAACCCCCGGCAGCTCAGAGCAAACAAAGGGAGCTTCCTCCCCAGGGCTGCGGGAAGCAGGGAGAGCCACGGCGAGTCCTGCCCTAGGGAACACGGCAGCCAGGGGCATGGTGTTCGCCCCTAGGGCACCGTCAGCATCCTTGGCCCGAGGGATGGGCAAAGGAGGCTCCGAAGCTACAAAATACATCTTTATTACAAATATAACCAGTCATCAGTCACGCAGAGGGATGCAGCAAGAGAGGGGGCTCACACCGGCAGGGGAAGGGAAGGAAAAGCAAGGCAAGGCCAGGGGAGTGAACCAGGGCAGCAGCGGCCATAGGGGCAGGGTTATTGCTTAGCAAGGGGCCTCACGGGGCTGCTGTGATTGCATAGATGGGGTGTCCCCTCCAACCCTGCCAGAGCCGGGAGGGAGCGCAGCAATGGGGATGGCCCCACGTAACACTGGGGAAAAGCTTCAATGGCACAGCGAGGTGCCAGCACCCCGCTGCAGCAAGGTGGGGAGGGGAGGAAGCACATCCACACTCCTCCTCAGCCCACGCAGCACGAGGCGAGGGGATGAAGGAGGCTGCTCCCGGCCTCTGCCAGGACACAGCAGCAGCGGGGAGCAGGGCACCACGAAGGCTCCGGGGCTCCTCCCGAGCGCCGGAGCTGAGCCACGTCTCCATCGGGGGCTTTTTGGTATCCACAGGGAGTTTAAGACAAGGCAGAGGCAGATCCCAGCCGGAGCCCGCCGGTGTCTTTGGTAAGAGGAGGAGCAGGGCGCTCCCGGCAGCAGCCTGGCTGCGGGCACGGGCTGAGCACGGTCCGAAGGTCCCCTCGTGCACCTCAACCCTCCCGGGCACCTGCCCCCGAGACAGCACTTCCGCTCCGTCCCCACCCCATAGCCAGGGAGGCTCCCAGCAGAGCCCGGAGGTGCTGGCGCGGGAAGAGGGGCTCCAATGGGGCAGCAGCAGCAGTTCTGCCCCTCACCTCCGTGCAGGGCAGCCAACCTCAATGAGCACCCAGGTGGTTGTAGGGCAGGGAGTTACAGGTGTGATTCCTGGCAAGGGAGGCATCATCATCATCATCATCTTCATCCTCCTCCTCCTCCTCGAAGAGCTGGTCCTCAAGGAAGATGCCACCGAGGCCGTACTCGCGCTCGTGGACAGAGACCTCGTCGCGGGTGACGTGACAGGCGCCGGCCACGAAGTCAGCAAACCTGGTGAGGAGCCCCAGAGGAACACGTGATGCACACGCACCGTACATGCGTGTTGCACGTGTGTGGCGTACACACGTGTTGCGCACACATGTGGCACGTGTGTTGCACGTACATGTTGCACACAAGTGTACATATGTGTTGCACATACGTGTTGTACACACGTGTTGCGCACGCGTGTGGCACGTGTGTTGCACGTACATGTTGCACACAAGTGTTGTACATACGTGTTGTACACACGTTGTGCACATGTGTGGCACGTGTGTTGCACGTACATGTTGCACACAAGTGTTGTACATACGTGTTGTACACACGTTGTGCACATGTGTGGCACGTGTGTTGCATGTACATGTTGCACACAAGTGTTGCACACACGTGTTGCACATACATGTTGTATATACATGTTGCACATACCTGCTGTATATATGTTGTACACACGTGTTGTACAAGTGTTGTGCATACGTGTTATATATACATGTACATACATGTTGCACACGTGTTGCACATACACGTACACCTGTTGTCCATGTGTTGCACATATGTGCTGTACACACGTGTCATACATACGTGTTGTACACACGTTTTGTACATACGTGTTGTACTCACGTGTTGCACATACATGTTGTACATGTGTTGTACGTGTTGCACATACGTGTTGCACATACGTGTTGCACATACGTGTTGCACACACGTGTTGCACATAGGTGTTGCACACACGTGTTGCACATAGGTGTTGTAAATGTGTTGCACATACATGTTGTACATGTGTTGCACATACGTGTTGTACACACATTGTACATACATGTTGTACGCACGTGTTGTACATACGTGTTGCACATATGTGTTGTACATGTGTGTTGCACACGTGTGTTGCACACACGTTGTACATGTGCTGCGCACATGTATTGTACATGCATGTTGCACATACATGTACTCACGTGTTGTATATATGTGTTGTACATACACGTTGCACAGATGCGCTGCACACGAGTTGCACACATGCTGCACACAGGTGTTGCACATATGTGTTGTACACACGTGACCACTGCCTTCCTGGGAGGCTCTGGCACACCAGGGTGAAGCATTCTGGCACCAGGACCTAACCCTAACCCTAACCCTATCCCTAACCCCAACCCCAACCCCAACCCTATCCCTAACCCCAACCCCAACCCTAACCCCAACCCTATCCCTAACCCCAACCCCAACCCTAACCCCAACCCCATCCCCAACCCTAACCCCAACCCCATCCCCAACCCCAACCCTAACCCCAACCCCAACCCTATCCCTAACCCCAACCTAACCCTAACCCTAACCCTATCCCTAACCCTAACCCTAACCCCAACCCCAACCCCAACCCTAACCCTAAACCCAAACCCTAACCCCAACCCTAACCGCAACCCCTAACCCCAAACCCTAACCCCTAACCCCAACCCTAACCCCAACCCTCCCCTGTGGCACCCCCCCTGCTCCCAACCCACCGCAGAGCATCCCTGCCTCCATCTCCCCTCTCTAAAGCCAGGATGGGAGCACAGAGCGAGCCTGGGCTCTCAGCAGCACACAGAGCCCCGCGCTGGCCACCCCTGTGCCGGGGCTCCTTACCTCTTGGGCGCCTGGATGCGGGACACCGCTGTCCAGGCAGAGAAATCCGGGCTCCTGCAGTAGCTCCGAAGCTCCTCGAGGGCCCTGCGGGTCTCCACCTCGCCCTGGAGCCGGAATTCCTCCTCCGTGAGCAGGCGTGGGGGGCTCGGCCCGAGCCAGGCGCCCTGCAGCCTCCTGCCAACACAGCAGCGGTCACTGCCCGCGCAGCGGGATCAGAGCCCCCGGGCCCCTCTGCCTCCTGCTCCAAGGCACCGACGCCAGGGCGAAGAGGGCACAACCCCCTGGGACAGCCACCCCATAGGCTCCGTCCAGCAGCAAGAGCAGGGAATGCAGCCCTCACCTGTAGGCAGCGAAAGCCCACTGCAATGGGTAGTCCAGGTTCTTGGTGCAGAAGGCAAGGACCACCAAGGCCAAGGCGATGGGGTGGATCTGGATGCCTGAGTACATCAGTAAGAGGCCCAGGAGCTGCAGGGCCCAGGAGAGGAGGTTGATGCTGCGCTCATTCTCCAATGGGCCGTAGCGGTAGCAGATGCCGAAGCTCACGAAGCCCATGAGGAGCAGGTAACCTGCGGGGGAGCAGAGGCTGAAGGAGCCCCAGAGGAGCAGGGGCTGCAGCACCGAGCTGGCAGGAAACCAGCATCTTATCATAGACTCATAGAATGGGATGGATGGGACCTTAAAGCTCATCCAGTCCCAACCCCTGCCACGGGCAGGGGCACCTTCCACTGGAGCAGGGTGTTCCAACCTGGCCTTGAGCACTGCCAGCGATGGAGCAGCCAAACCTTCTCCATTCAACCCATTCCAGCACCCCAGCACCTTCACACTAAGCTTCTGCCTTGTATCCAACCTGAACTCCCCCTGTTCCACTCTGAACCCATCACCCCCTGTCCCATCGCTCCAGTCCCTGATGCAGGTCCCTCTCCAGCATCCCTGTACCCCCCTTCAGGCACTGGAAGCTGCTCTGAGCTCCCCACGCAGCTTCTCTGCTCCAGCCCCAATGCTCTCAGCCTGCCTCCTATGGGAGCTGCTCCAGCCCCTGAGCATCCTCGTGGCCTCCAACAGCTCCATGCCCTGATGTTGAGGTCACCAGCACTGCTCACAGTGCTGCAGGGGGGCTCTCACAGAGCACAGCAGAGGGGCAGGATCCTCTCCAGGACCCACTGCTCAGGATGCAGCCCAGGCTATGGCTGGCAACCAGCCTGCTGCAGCTCCAGTGAGCCCAAAGGGCTCACACTCACCCAGCAGGTACTGCCAGTAGGTCCTGCAGATCTCCTGTAGGTTCTTGAAGATCAGCTGAAGCAGGTACAGGGAGAAGGACCAGCCCCCCACCAGCAGCAAGTAAACATGGTTCTTCTAGAGGAAGAGATGGGAGATTCAAGCTGCATACAACTTGTTCTTGTATAGCTGCATACAACTTGTTCTTGTATAGCTGCATACAACTTGTTCTTGTACACAGGCTGTTCTTGCACAGTGTTCTTCAGACACCCACCTTGGGCAGGACCTTGGAGACCATGTAGATGAGGATGAGCAATGAAGCCAGCAAGCCAAAGCTGATCCCGGCCGAGTAGAAGAAGAGTTGGCTCCTGCAGGGATGACACGAGGTGTTTCACAGCTCAGGGGTGCCTGGGCGCAACCGGGCACTGGTACCCAGCGCTCCTCGTGCCCAGGGCACTCACCTGCTCAGCACGTCCCCACAGAAGAACAGCAACAGGCCCAGGAAGAACACCAGGAACAGCTTCGGGTCGAAGCCTGGAAAGGGAATGAATCCGGCTGGAGAACACCCCAGCACGGAGTCCCTTGGGTGCAGTCCCAAGGACAGGGAAGCGGCAGCACCCCAGGCACCCCCTGACCAGAGCCCTACGTTTACACCCCATGGATGGACACAGGCTTCTCTCTGCAGCCCATTCTCCTCCCCAAGGCAGGACCAGCCCTCAGCACACGAGCCCCATGTCCTCAATGCCCCCTCCAAAAGCCGTACGTCGGAAGAGGACGACGCAGTACACGGTGCCGTCCTCCAGCAGCTCCACCTTGAGGCAGGTTTTCTTGCTGTAGAGGTCCACGTCGATGCTGGTGTCGTTCAGCTTCTCCTTTAGGAAGGACGAAAGGAAACTCCACACGCTCGACTCGCCCAGCTCCTCCTCGCTGCCCACTTGGGTGACCCGGATCATGCGGCTGCTGTTCACCCGGATCTGCACGGGGGAAAGGGCAGCGCACGGAGGGATGGCTCCCGTGGGGACCCAAAGGACCTTCCTCCTCCTCCTCCTCTCACCTGCATCCTGGTCCAGATCTCGTGCCACCGCGGCTTGTGCGTGTTGGTGTAGCAGAAGTGATGCGGGGACGACTCATGGTACACGCGGCCCTCCAGGAGCGAGATCACCGGCGGCGCCCCGGCATCTGCAAGGAGGCACGGAGCGGGCAGCGCATCCCCCGGTGTCAGCCCCGCTCCGGAGGCGGCGAACGCCGCGGGCCCGTGCCCCGCTCCCGTTCCGGGCCGCAGCGGCCCCCGGACCCCGCGTACCTGCGGTCCCCACCAGCAGCAGCAGCAGCAGCACCGGCACCAACGCGCCCCATGGCAACCGCCGCCGCCGCCGTCCCGGAGCCGGTTTCATCCCTCCCGCCGCGGCCGCGCCGCCACCTTCCGCCGCTCCGCCTGGCAACGGCCACCGAGGGGCCAGCGGCGGCCAATGAGAGAGGGCGCTGGCGTTGCGTCATGGCAGAGTGAAGGCTCAACAGGCCTATCGGAAGGCTGCTTAGTTTAGGAGCCTATCAGGAGCCAGGCACGCCCACCGCTGTGACCAACCAGACGGGGCGGTTCAAGCCCAGCCCATAGCAACCGCTAATCCCGCCTTAGAAACGGCTTAACAGACGCACCCCTCAGCCAATCAGAGACAAGCACACCTGACTGACAACCCCGTTCTCCTATCAGAAAGCGGCGTTTTTGTGCAGGGGGTCACGCGTGGGCGGGAGTTGGGGCGCGGAGCTCCGCCCCTCAGCCCCCGCACCGGGCAGCGTGCGGGGCCGGACCGGGTCCGGGGGCTCCGTGCCCCCGTTCACGGCCCTCGGAGGGGAGGGGGCGAAGCGCGGGGCTCCCGCAGCCCCGAGCGGGTCCGGGCCCCGTGGGCAGCGGCCGCCCGTAGGCGGGGAGCGGGATCGGGCGGGCTCCCCCCCCCCGGCCCGTGGGCGGCGGAGCCGGGAAGCGGCGGGGCCGTAGGCGGAGGATGTGCGTCAGCCGGGGGCAGAGCCGGGCCTGGGAGCGGCCGAGCCGAGCCGGACCCCCGGTTGCGGGGAGGGGGGAGCCGGTGTTGGGGTGTGGGGATGGGGCAGGACCCCCAAGACCCCCAATCACGGCGGGGCACTGAGACCCGGCTGTCCCCCCCCCCAGCCCCGGGTAGGGGCGGCTGGAGCCGTGCCCGGGCACGGTGTAAATAGCGCCGTGATCCCCCCCCCCTGCAAGCGCGGAGGGGTGATGGGGGGGACGGACGGAGGGACGAGGCTTTACCGTGTCGTCCCCCCCCGTCCAACCCCAGGAGTCACCTCCGCCCGCGCCGCGCCGTGGGGTGTTCACCCTGAAGCCTACCGGGGCAGCCGGGGGGGGGGGGCTGAGGCACGAAGGGGCCGCGCTCCCGGGGCATCACCGGGATAACGGCACCGCGGTGCTGCAGGAGCCACCGATGCTGCGAGCGCAGCGGTCTTGTGTCCCCCCCCCCCATCCCTCAAGCACCGGGACCCCGTACGTGTCCCCTCCGCCCTGGTGATGGAGGGGGGGGCTCCTTCCTCGCCCGGTTCCCCGGTGCCACCGTGCGGGGCGCCGCTCCCCGGTCCCCCCTTCCTCGGGGCGGGAGGAGCAGCGGCTCCGGGAGCGGGGAGCCCGATGGGGGGGGGTCCCGGTTCCCCCGCCCGCTGCTGCCTCCCCCCGCCGCGGCCGCCCGCGCTGTGCTCGACGGGGGCGGCAGCCGCGGGATCCGCCCCCGGGGCCTCCCACGCCGCGGCGCTGCCGGGGCCGCTGCTATTTCACGGTACCGCCCGTGTGGGCGGCGCGCAGAAGCGGCGCGGAGCGAAGGAGCGAGCGCGCCCGGCCCGGCCGCGGGACCCCCCCCCCCCCCCGAGTCCCGGTACCCCCCGGCCCCGTCGGCCCCGGAGCTCCGGCTGCTTCCAACCCCCCCCCCCCCCCCCCGCGGCCGCTCACGGGGCGGGCGCAGCGGCGGGGAGGCGGCTCCAAGGCGGCGGTGAGCGACCGACGGGAGGGGAGGCGGGGGGGGAGCGACGGGAGGGGCCGGGGGACCGGGGCACCGGTAGCCAGGGGCACGGAGCAGAACGGGAGCCGGGGAAGGGCGGCCCCTGCGGGAGCGGGACTCGCGCTGCGCCGTCGGGGATGGGGAGGGATGGGGCAGGCTCGGGAGCGTGTCCGACGCCACGGGGCGGGGGGGCTCTGGGAGGTGCGGGGCTGCTGCTGAAGGGATGGGGGGGCCCATTGGTGTCTTTGCTGTGTCTGAAGGAGCTGTGGACACTGGGTCCCACGCAGCCTGCGTGCCCCGTGGGGTCTGGGGACCCTGGAGCACCGCCATCACCTCCTTGGTGGGGAGGGGGCTTCTCCTCCGTGCCCGTCGTGACCCGTGGGTCCCGCAGGCGCGATCGCCATGGCCCTGCCCCGCACGCTGGGGGAGCTGCAGCTGTACCGGGTGCTGCAACGCGCCAACCTGCTGGGCTACTACGAGACCTTCATCCAGCAAGGGGGGGACGACGTGCAGCAGCTCTGCGAGGCGGGCGAGGAGGAGTTCCTGGAGATCATGGCGCTGGTGGGCATGGCCACCAAACCCCTGCACGTCCGCCGCCTCCAGAAGGCCCTGCGTGAGTGGGCCTCCAACCCGGGGCTCTTCAGCCAGCCCGTCTCGGCCGTGCCCGTCAGCAGCATCCCCCTCTTCAAGCTGTCGGAGGCGGGCGGGCGCAAGGCGCTCAGCAATGGTCACGCCAGCCCCGGTGAGGCTGTGGGCAAAGGGGGCAGCAGCAGCGGGACCCCCCCAGCCCGGAGCCCCACAGAACCGGGGGAGAAGCTGTCACCATCAGCGGTGCCGCCGTGGCCGGGGAGGAGCACCCCTGAGTCGGAGGGCGGCGGGGACGAGGAGCCGGGGGGTCCCCCCTTCTCCCCGGGTGGGAGCAGCGGTGAGCAGGCGATGGGTACCGAGGCGCTGGAGCCGGAGCTGGTGCGGACGGTGGCAGAGAGCGTGGAGCGGCTGCTGCAGAACTACCCCCGCGGCGGTGAGGCCGAGCTGCGGGCGCTCATGAAGCTCAACAAGAAGCTGGCCAAGGCCGTGGGTCACATCTTCCAGCTGGAGGACGGCGACCGGCACAAGGAGGAGGAGATCCGGCGGCACAGCGCGATCTACGGCCGCGGCGAGGCCCGGCGCCGCGAGGGCAAGCAGCTCACCCTGCACGAGGTGCGTGGCTCCCCAGGTCCCGTTGTTGCTTGGGGTGGGAGATGGGGTCCGCTGGGTCAGACGCTGCCTCTGCCGTGGGGTGCTGGGGGGGTTCCCCCCCATCTCACGCACCCTTTGCGCCCCGCAGCTCATCATCAACGAGGCGGCCGCGCAGTTCTGCCTGCGGGACAACTCGCTGCTGCTGCGGCGCGTCGAGCTCTTCTCCCTCTCGCGCCAGGTAGCGCGGGAGAGCACCTACCTGTCCTCGCTCAAGGTGTCCAGGTGAGCCCGGACCTGGCAAACCCCCCGTCACAAACCGGACGGGGGGGGGGCCTTGGCTGTCACCCCCCTCTGCGCCCCATAGCTCAGCGCTTCCCAATGGGGACAGGACCCGAGTTCCCCTTTCCCTCGTGTGGGTTGTTTTCTGCCTGGCCTCGGGCCCGCGGGAGGTGGGGTATGGCTGGAATGCCGGGGGGGGGGGGGGGCTGTGGTGGTGGCGATGGGGATGATGCTGCTGGGGGTGCCCCCCTTCCCTCACCCCTCCCTTCCCGCTGTGCGCTGTGGCCGCGCTGCCCTTTCCCTTCGCTCGCCCCTTGTGCCACCCCCGGCTCCATCTGTGCCAAAGCCCCGATGCCGCGGCACCGCCCCGCCCGGCCCACGCTCCCCGCGGCGCCTGGCGCTGCCCGCAGGGCCCCCTGCGCGGTCACCCCACGCCTGACGCAGCCCCTTCGTGTGTGTTTGTGTCCCCCCTTCCCTTTCCCCGCGCAGGGCACACGCCGAGGACAGCGCAGCCACCGCGGCCAAGCGGCTCAAGCAGGAGGTGGGTCCGCACCCGCACTGATGCTGCCGCAGGGGGATGCGGGGTGCTGGTTGTGGGGCTTGGTGCTTGTGCGCAGCGCGGAGCTCCCCTTGCTCTCGGTGGGATGGGGCCCGTCCCCGCTGCCCTGCGCTCACTGCGCGCTCCCGGCAGGCGGGAGAGCAGAGCCGCCCCGAGCTGCTGCCGCTGCCGGTGGGGCCGGAGCCGCCGGGGGCCGTGTTCCGAGCCGGGCTGGAGGAGGACGCCGCCAGCCTCTCCGGGGAGAGCCTCGACGGCCACTTGCAGGGTGAGCTCAGGACCCATCCATGGGCAGCACCCGAACCCCAGCCCCATCGGGTAACCCCAGATCTCGCCCTTCTCTCCGCAGTGGCGGGGGCCTGTCCCCGGCTGACGCCGCCGCCCGGTGCCGGCCCCGACGTGGCCCTGGGGCTGCCCCCGCACGGGCTCTGGAGCCGCCACATCCTGCAGCAGACGCTGATGGACGAGGGGCTGCGCTTGGCCCGCTTGGTCTCCCACGAGCGTGTGGGGCGGCTCAGCCCCTGCCTGCCCGGGAAGCCCCCGGCACCCGGTGAGCCCCCGTGGGGCAGCGGAGCTGGGGGGGGGGGGCAGCCGCATTGTTCCCTATGGAAGCATCTCCCTGATGCCACCCCCCCCAATCCCCGATTCTCCCCACAGAGTTCGAGGACGGGCTGGCAGAACGGGGTCCTCCGGCCCCCCCTGAGCCCCCCCGCGGCACCATCAAGGTGGAGCAGGAGAGCAGCCGGCAGTGAGGCCCCTGCAGCCCCCCCCCCACCATTAACGAAGCAATAACGTGCTGGGGGACGGGTACCGGCGGTGCTCCGGGTGCGGGGGGAGCCGGTGAGGGCCTGGCCACAGCCCCCCCCCCCCCCCCCAAGGACCCCATCCTCTCCCGCACCGATGCTCTGGTTACCTCAGCCGCGGCGGGATGCGCGCCCCCCCCTCCTCACCCCACAGCAGCAATACCCTGGTCCCACCAGGCTCTGAGCCCCCCCCCCGGGGCTGGGGGGAGCCCTCGATGGACTCGAAGCTGCTGTACAGCCCCCCCTCGGCTCACCCCTTGTGCTGACCGTCCCGTGTGTGTCGTCCCCCCCCCCGCCCCAAGGCCCCTTTGGGTGGGCAACCCGTGCCCCCCCCCATCACCGCACAGGAGCCACATGCAGCACCGTGTGCTCCCACATCAGCGCCACCCCCCCCCCCGCAGCACCCCCGCACCACCCGCCCCCCCCCCTGCAGCACGCACCGCGTTGTGACCCCCCCCTTCCCACTCCTCCCTCCCCACACACCCGTTGTGACCCCCCCCGCAGCACCGCATCACCCACGTGCAGTGTTTCACCTCTAAATCCCCCCCCGCACCCCCCCATTTACCTTCATGTACGGGGGTCACGCGTGTTGCGGGGGTCACGCGTGTGCACCCCCTCCCAGCATCATGTGGGTGGCATTTGATGGGCACGGGGATGGTG